GCTTCCGGGGGCCTGTCCCGCCCGGGTCTCCGGGTCTCCGTGTCTCGCCGCTTAAGGGGACCCCGTTAGCCTCCGCTTTGCTTTCACACGCAAACTACCAAACTGTGAAGGCGTGTGGTCTGACACCCTGCTATAATAGGATCCCTGAAAGAGATCAAGCTTGTGCGCAAGATGGAACGGGCGCCATCACCCCGCCCAGGCGGGCCGCTACGCTCCCGAACAGAAGACACGGCCAGGAAATCATGGGTGGGACCACAGGCCGGAGCTGGAGGCACCATCCAAAATCCAACACTATAACTAAAATGATCCTAGGCTAAGAGCAAAAATACAACAGCAGTGTAACAGTATAAATGGGCTGTCGACGAATTCAGAATAAATGGGCTACAGACGAATCCCAATTCGGCACGAAAAATGGAGGTACGTAGGCGTACCGAAGTCGCTATACTCTGCTAGCCGTGTTGCTATACACCCCGCGTACGCCCCCCTCGTCTATGCACGATCGAAGTTGCTAAATGGGAGTCTCTGATCTTGCTGCCATACACCCTCCACTCGAGGCTCTTCGTCCAACTGTTCCTCCGCCGGTTCTGCGGATCTTTCCGTGCGGTCCGCGCGCGTCTGTTACGTCACTGTACATATGCCCATGCCCGTCTACCGCGCATACTGCAACCGTCCGGCTGGTTGTTTGTCCTCTCACGCCCGGGGAGATTCCCCGGCAGCGTCAGCACGCCAGCGCAGATTGCTGCATCTGTGTAACCGCCTCGTCAGGTTGGTTGTGCGTCGTCAGCGCCGAGGAGGGGTGTGCTGTGCGCCCCCCTCTTCGCCCCTACTCTGTCCCTCCTCTTCTTCTTATTCCCCTCTCTTCCCAGAGACCACCGTTGGCTCTTCCTAGAGACCGCCTGTGGCTCTTCCTAGAGACCACCGTCGGTTCTTCCTAGATAACTACTCCTGTCCCGCAAGTCTGTCTGTACACTCGCCCCCCCCCCCCCCCCGAACGGAAGTTTCC